ATAGCAACCTCGGCATGAACATGATTCCGTTCTATGTTTACTACTCGATGTTTGGCTTCCAGCGGGTCGGTGACCTGATCTGGTGTGCAGCGGATAGCCGCACGAAAGGCTTCCTCGTTGGGGGAACATCGGGGCGGACAACTCTCAACGGTGAAGGCCTGCAACACGAAGATGGTCATTCACATGTTATGGCTGCCACCGTTCCTAACCTTTTGGCATACGATCCGGCCTTTGCTTACGAGTTGTGTGTCATCATTCAGGATGGTCTGCGCCGTATGTATGCTGAAGGGGAAGAAATTTTCTACTACCTTTCTGTGTACAATGAAAACTATGAGATGCCTGCCATGCCTGAGGGCGAAGGTGTTGCGGAGGGAATCCTGAAAGGGATGTACAAATTCCAAAGTACGAACTCAGGGGAAGGTCAGCAGAAACGTCCTCAGTTGTTCGGCTCAGGCACCATTCTCAATGAAGTGCTGCGAGGACAGTCGATCCTCGAAGAGAAATACGGCATCGGCACGGACGTCTGGAGTGTCACCAGCTACAGCGAGTTGTGCCGTGAATCGATGTCAGCCGACCGCTGGAACTGGCTGCATCCGAATGACGAGCCACGCAAGTCGCACCTGCAAACATCCCTGGAGGGAATTGACGGTCCATTTATCTCATCCAGCGATAATATTCGCATGGTCGCTGACCAGATTCGTGAATGGGTTCCGGGCCAGTATACCGTTCTCGGGACCGATGGTTTCGGCCGCAGCGACACACGTCCTGTGCTCCGTCGGCACTTCGAAGTCGATGCAGAGTGTGTCGTTTACGCGACTTTGCATGCATTGGCCGAAGAGGGCCAGTTCGATGCTGCCAAACTGCCAGAGGTGCTCAGTGATCTGGGGATTGATCCCGATAAAGTTGAGCCACGAACGGCTTAATTCATTGAATGATATTGATAACACATTGCCGGACATTTTAAATGTCCGGCATTTTCTTTGTTCTTACGCTATCGAAGATTGAATCATGGAAGCTGGAATCGTCGGTCTCCCCAACGTTGGCAAGAGTACTCTCTTCAATGCCCTGACATGTTCGCAGGCCGCACAGAGTGCGAATTATCCCTTCTGTACTATCGAACCGAATGAGGGGATCGTGAATGTCCCCGATCCACGTGTCGATACCATTGCAGGTTATTTCAACCCGCAAAAAGTCATTCACGCTGCTCTCAAGCTCGTTGATATTGCAGGAATCGTCAAAGGAGCCAGTGAAGGAGAAGGCTTGGGAAATAAGTTTCTCAGCCACATTCGTGAAGTGGATGCGATTATTCAGGTCGTTCGCTGTTTTGAGGATGATGATATCACGCATGTCTCGGGAAAGGTTGATCCCGTGAACGATATCGACATCATTGAAACGGAGCTGATGCTGGCCGATATGCAATCGCTGGATAATGCGATTGGAAAAGCACAGCGAACTGCGAGAAGTGGTGATGCCGATGCCAAGAAGCGTGTCGCTGTCGTACAGAAATGCCAGGCTCAACTGGAGAGCGAACAACCACTGCGTAAGCTGGAGTTGGATAAAGAAGAAGCCAAGATTGTCAATGGATATGGTCTGCTGACAGCAAAACCTGTATTGTATGTCGCCAATGTTGAAGAGAATGATTTACTGGGCGAAGGGCCACTTGTGCAGCAGTTGCGTGAGTTCGCTGCCAAGACAGGTGCTGATGTTGTTCCTGTTTGTGCCAAGTTGGAAGCAGAAATTGCTGAGTTAGACGAAGCGGATCGGAATGAGATGCTGGAGTCCGTGGGCCTGGAGGAACCAGCGTTAGCAGTTCTGGCCCGTGCGGCTTACCATACTCTGGGACTTCAAAGCTATTTCACAGCTGGTGAGAAAGAAGTCCGCGCCTGGACCATCCCGATAGGAGCCACCGGTCCGCAAGCTGCGGGAGTGATCCACACCGACTTCGAAAAAGGCTTCATCCGTGTCGAAGTCTATTGCCTGGAAGACCTGGAAGAACACAAGAAAGAATCCGCCATACGTCAGGCCGGGAAATTACGCGTTGAAGGCAAAGACTACGTGATGCAAGATGGTGACATCTGTCACTTTCTATTCAATAAGTAAGCAGGATGTTTCTCTGTGCCGGACACCTCAAGTGTCCGGCAAACAAATCAACTCATCATGGAGTTGAAGACCACCCAACGGAAGGTGACCAGCACGCAGACCAGGCACATCCACCAAGTTGCTTGCTGCATGACAGGTTTATGTCGCCAGAAGTAAAGGATTGACAGCCCACATGATGTGGCAACGACCTTGAAGAAGGCTAGTTGTCGCGGTGAATCCATGTAAGCCGCAGCAACGGGATTGACCTCCCGCATAATTCCTGCCTGCCCGGCCAGAATCGTCCAGATTAAATCGATCAACGACATGCCCAGCATCAGGAGCAGGGCCATTACTAGGAACCGTTCGGATTCTGGTTTACGTTCTTCAGACTCTGCGAAGCCCTTGCCAATCCATTGCAGTAATTGACCGAAAGCGATCACGCTAAAAATCATCGATGCCAGTGTTAATGGGTAGGAAAAATTTTCCAGTCGTTTAACCGCTGCAATCTTTGTTACGGTTTCCTGTTCATGTTTTTCAATGGTCGTAATCAATTGTTGCAGTTCATTTGCGACCGCAGCGGGTGGGTGATAGTTCTTGAGCCAATTCGACCAGAGTTGAGTGGTCTGTTCGTTGAATACGATGCCCGGGATGAATGCGAGTTCGCGTTCCTTTGGGCTGTCCGCCAATATTGCTTGAGCGAGATCGTACTTGTCAGAAGCTACTGAGAGGCTATGAAACGGTGTCTCGTCAAACAGAATGATATAGTCGGCATTATCAAGCGAAGTAGTCATGAACCGATAGAGCCTAAGTGACGGATTTTGCACTTTACGCTCGCGCCTTTCAAACGCCTCTCCTCCTCGATGTCTCTCGAACTCAGTGCGATAATACTCTTCCTCTGGGTCTTCCGGCCCGATGGTGACAGAGATGGACGCGGGTAATTGCTGTCCGTTGACAGTGATGCGTTCGCGGTCAGCTTCGATCAGATAGGGGCGTGACAACGCTTTACCGTTAAGAAAGATTAAACCTTGATCATATTCTTCTGACGTGAATTTCCGGGACCGGCTCTCTTGCTGAGCGAGCAACACCTCACACTCCAATCCGACCAGGATCAGAGTGCATGTAAGCATCAACAAGATATTATGATACAGCATCGTCGCTCTCTGAGTAAAAAGCTGGAGGAATTCAGGCTATAAACTTTTATAAAACACTGCGTGAGCGAAAAAGTTCCTCACGACTGCCATGATTTATTAAAAACATCATACCAGTCTGCTTGCATTTCGCAAAAAAATGATTCAATGTCCTGTACAGAATTGTCAATAGACTGGTGCACTTTGGATTGATCGTTTTCGTTGAAAATGCCTCTAGTTCACACGAGCAATCACAGCGTTTTGATTAGTGAAAATGTACGTTCGAGGGCCCAAGAAGCATGGGAACACTCTAATCATTCAAAGGAAACTCTATTGATCGTTTCTGCTCGTTTGAGCGATAGATCGCTGTGAAGAGTTCTACGACAACGCGGCCTTCGCGTCCATCAACCATGGGAGAACGATCCTGAATGATGGATCGGAGAAAGTCTTCAACCTGTAAGGCGTGGTAATGCTCTGTCGCATTGATTGCAGCGAAATTCTGACGATCCTGTGCTTCAAATTCAGCGAGCAAATGTTGCTCTCCGGGAATTGTCCAGATGTCATTCAAGGGAGGATCAGCGATCTCGCTGACACCTGCGACAAATGAGGCACCAGTGTCAGTCTGAACACCGACCGAAGCTCCGTTTGAACCATGCACATGCACCTTGGTATAGATACCAGGATTTTGTGACAGACTCGTAACAATGTTGCCGATGGCACCATTCTGAAAGCGGATATTAGCTACAGCAGTATCTTCAACTTCAATGTAAGGATGATTCAAGTTCCCCCAGTAGCCGGAGACTTCAGCGATATCACCCATAAACCATTGCAACAGGTCGAGTTGATGAGGTGACTGATTCACCAGCACACCCCCTCCTTCCGTTGCCCACTTTCCTCTCCAGGGATCCGATTGATAGTACGCCTGATCACGCCAGCTGAACATCGAAAAAGTCCCGAGAACAGGTCGACCGATCTTTCCAGCATCGATCGCTCGCCGCATGCGTTGAACAGGTTCGAAAAGCCTCCGTTGACTAACGACTCCTAAATTCGCATCTCCTTCCTCAGCTGCATGGATCATATTGTCGCAGGCCTTGAGTGTGGCAGCGAGTGGCTTTTCAACGAGGACATGGACTCCTGTTTTTGCAGCAATGACAGCAGGTTCTTCATGGAGCGGATGTGGAGTACAGATCACCACAGCCTCGACACCAGAAGTACGGATCATCTCGCCGATCGAATCGAAGGCCTGCGTTTGAAAACGATCCGCCATCTTTTGTGCTCGACTTCGCTGTACATCACAAACAGCAACAAAGTCAGAGCAATCGAGCTGGTTCAAGGCTTGTGCATGTAATTCGGCAACTTTGCCACAACCAATGATTCCAGTTCGAACTTTCTGCATGTGATCACGTCTCTTGCTTAGGATTAGACATTCGTTGAGCGGAATCGCTTACTCAGACTCTGGAGAATCTGGGAAATATTTTTGAACCATTTGATGTAGAAACAGCAGTGATTCTCGCATTTCATCCATCCCGTTCATCCCGTCTTCGATACTGATCCAGCCTGAAAATTTGTGTTCTGCCAGAATCGAAAAGATGGCATCGTAATCATTGAGCCCCTGTCCTGTGACACCATGGAGCAGTGAATCCGAGTACCCAATTGTTCCGTCTGACTGCTTTAATTCATCCAGAGTTGCTCCTGCTATTAGGTAACGATCACTGGCATGCATGCTGACGACACGTTCAGCGACATTCTCAAGCAGTTCGACCGGATCGTCTCCTGCAACAACTGCGTTTGAAGGGTCGTATTGAACTCCAAAATATTCACGTTCAGGAAACGCTTCTAACAGTTTCAGGAATACATCCTGTTTCTGAGCAAACTCAGGGTAAGACCAGAAGCCATCTTTGTAATGATTCTCTAATCCCAGGATCACACCGAACTCTTGAGCCACCGGGAGTAATTCCTGAAAGGCAGCACAAACCCATTCAATCCCTTGTTCGATGCTCACTTCAGGATAGCGCTGCCCAGATAAAACACGACAGACTGTTCCAGAACCACCTAGCTGATAGCAAGCTCGAATCATCTCAATCTGCTTCTCCACAGCAATCTTGCGACCTGCCTCACTCGGTTGCGTAAAATCGGGTGAGCAACAAAGCATTGGCATGACGAAACCCGCCTCGTGGATCGCATCACGAACTTGATCGAGGTATGACTCATCCAGGCTTGTAAAAAAGCCGTCATACATTTCCAGACCTTCAGCTGGCAATCCTATCGCCATTTCGATCCAGTCGAATACAGATATCGACCTCTCACCAGCAATTTTATCGAGATAACATTTGGGAAATGCAGAAATTCTGGGAGGCATCAATTCACCACGTTTTCATCTCAGACCAAGTAGGGAGAACTATCTACTCAACATGGAGTATAGTCTGGACTTTGTGATCATGGACGGTCAAGATCATGCTTCATTAAACAGACGAGCGGTTCGGAGGGACTCAATGAAGTTATTTATCAAGGCTGTATGTGGTATCACGATGCTTACAACGAGTTCTTTTGCTGAGGAAGAACGACAACTCCCAAAGATTCTGAAACACGAAACTCGCACCATCGCAGGTTGGAAGGTCCATGTCGATCAAGAGCTGATCCATGGAACTGACACCGAACTCGGGAAGACTGCACTCAGATTGCTGGACGACAAACTCTTCGAGATCAGTCTTCGCTTACCACCTGAACGCATTGAACAGTTACAGGAAGTTCATATCTGGATTGATGCGCAGCATGAGTTGACCAGCATGCAATATCACCCAGGAGCCGGATGGCTTAAGGACCACGGTTATGACCCCCAAATGGTGAAGGGAGTCCACATTCCACGTGCGCAGCGATTCATCGATCATATTACACTTTATCGACAACCGTGGGCACTGATGCACGAGTTAGCACATGCTTACCATGATCAGTTTCTCGGTTGGGACCATGCGGGGATTCGTCAAAACTTCGAAGAGATCGTTGCTTCAGAAATGTTGAAGCAAGTCAAACACATTACCGGCAGCAACCGAGAACATTACGCACTGACCAATCCTAAAGAGTTCTTTGCGGAAATGACGGAATCCTACTTAGGCACAAATGATTTCTATCCATTCGTGCGTGGTGAGTTAAGAGACTCCTTTCCCGAAACCTATGCCCTCATGCAGTCGATCTGGATGGTCAAATAAGCAGAAGCTGATTTTGCAGGGCTTGTCATTGAGACCAGATTGGTTCACCACCTGACAATCGCTAGAATTCGGTAGAATTTAATTCATCCGTGACTGCCCTATGTGCGTTCAGGGTGGATCACCGCCTCATCATTCAATATTGGAATCCGAAGTGCTGGAACTGGTTCTCACATTTATCGGCCTGTCGATCGTTATTGTTGTCGCTGCTGTTTTCCTGGCGAACTCTGCGGATGAAATCGCTGAAGGAACAAAACTCGGCCGTTCGATGGCAGGCCTCATCCTGCTCGCAGGAGCGACCAGCTTGCCGGAATTCATGGTTGGTTGGACAGGGATCCAAATCGGCGCTTACGATCTGACTATCGGTGAACTCCTGGGGAGTTGCCTGCTCAACTTGCTCATTCTGGCACTCATGGATCTGGTGACCCGTACAAAAGGCTCCATGATTTCTCGGATTTCGGTGGCACATGCCATCTCAGCGGCAGCGAGCATACTATTGGCAGGCACGGTCCTAATGTCGCTGCTCATGCCATCAAACATTGTAATCGCACGATTGAGTATCGGCTCCTGGATCATTGCGATTGTCTATTTTGCCTGTATGAGACTCATCTATCAGGACCAAATGGAGCATGCATCAGACATCGAGAGCGAACCTTCTGAAAGGAAAATCGCCCTCATGAAAGCAATCCCC